ACGGCCGAGATGTCTCAGCCACACCCCAGATTGACCACGATCGAGATGTCCCGGCCACACCCCAGATTGGCCACGGCGGCGATGTCTCGGCCACACCCCAGATTGGCCATGGCCCAGATATATCGGCCAAAGTCCGGCATGGCCCAACCATGATTTTTTTTGTTTTGTTTTTTTTTGTTTTTCGTTCCGGATGCCACGCGACGCGGTGCGGCGCGACCATTCGACGGATTAAAAAAAAAAAAAAAAAAAAAAAAAAAAAAAAAAAAAAAAAAAAAAAAAACATTGCAGCCGCGGCGCACGGCACGACCGGGAAAAAAAAAAGGGAAAAAAAAAGAAGAAGACAAAAGTGCCTGTTCTGAACAGGTAGCATGTGTACAACGCGGGCCAGAGTTATTATTGCCGTTTTGAACTACGGTCGGGACGGAGCTGCGGACGACTGTTTTTTTTGCCCATTCAAAACGTGGGTTGTGACCCACGAGACGTTGCCCCAGAAATAATTATCCGATCGTGTTCCTGATATAGCATAAATTTCGACATAACCCTTTATCCTCAGCAGGCATGAGTACATGATGTCCACTTGAACAATGTGTCCGGATTGTCAATCTACCGTCATTGTTTTTTTTGTTTTTTTTTTTTGTGGAACCCTGCTAGCGTGTATTAGAAATATTATATTACTCTAATCGAAGTGCGTATCAAGGGTTATCGATTAGGGTGTACGCTCACTTATAAAAACAACCATTGCTTCCTCAAACAAGCAATCTCACTTATTATCATATTCCCATGATCAACAAAAAAATAAAACCCCAACAATTTTTCAGTTGTTGTTAGAAGAGCAAATTTTGTTGGGGAGGCCGCAACTGCGTAAACTCGGAGATCAACACTTTCGGAGTGCCGCCTTCGCCTAGGCACGACCACTGCATAAAAGAAATTAATGCTTAATGTAGGGGAATAAGCAGATCATTGTCTGATGAGTAAGTCGGATCCAAATTCACAATGTCAAAAATCCGGAGAAATTTTTAATTGTCACCCGAACAACAAATCATCGCATGTCATTAACCAGATTATGATTTATATAGCCCATATATTGTCCCTCAAGGAACCTCGACGTCTACCTAGCCTGGATTCACATTACCTGCATCAAGAAGCAAGGAAAAAATGGATAAAAGTTATGGAAGTCAATACGAACAAACTGAAAAGGACATGAGTGTAGCCTTAACAAGGACAACAACCCCGGAGAGTTGGATCAACTTCCTGGGTGGGCAGCACCTTGAGCTGGATATGGACGGCGAAACGATGAGAATAGGAGAAGATTCGAGGAAGAATCTTACCAGGAGATAGGGTGAAAGTGGTTGTAGACAAATCTTTTATTCTTGAATGGAAGCATAGAGGGATGAAAAAAAAAAGAGAAGAACGAAGACGCTCGAAAGATAAGATTGCGACCAAGAAGAGCGGGACAATGAGGATCCGACTCATCTACCAACCACTTGAAACACATATTCCACTGCTTTATATGCAGAGGAAGAGGTGAAGGCACTAGTCCCAATCATTGCCGCTATTTGTTTTTCTTGTCGTTGTCAACTCTACCAACTACACTTGAATGACGTATCTTGTACCTGGTGGAATTTCTTGCGAGTTTCCTTGGAAGTCGACAAAAAAACAAAGAGTGGCAAAATTGCGCTGCGACAATCGCCTAATCGCCATTAACTCTCTGAAGAGCTTGTAAGTCGGTCGGGACTTGAGACCGACCTAGATGGCAACAAGAAAAGGAGTCGAGGCGTTCTGTAGACAGCGGAAGGCAGAATCACAAATGCAGAGATGACCGATCTACTAGAACCTCAGCCAAATACCGAGGGTTGTCACATGTGGCACCAGAAGGGGGACCCTAATCTCTCGGTCGTTAGCGTACGTTGGTTCCTGATTTATGACGACAAGTGAAAAGAGAAGGTATTAGAGGGAAAGAGGTAGGATGGCGGTCACAATCTGACTCAGATGAGGATTAGAACGGAGATGGAGGCTCGAAGAAAGCATAAGGCGTAGAAATATGTTATAGAGAATTTTGCGTCTGCTAAGATGAGACTTGGGTTTATCCATATCGGTTACAACAATGGACTTCCAGTAGACAGGTATGGGGATTTAAACCAACGAGCAAAGAAGGAGCGATGGGGCACAATGGAGGAGGGGTTGAGGGTCCCGCCGGACTATACCCCAACCTGCCCTGAGCACAGACCCAACTGGCAGCACCAAGGGGTGCCAACAAGTCCCTTTTCTACCCTCCTCCTCTACTGTTATTTACTTTTTATTTATTATTTATTTTTTTATTAATTATGTGTCCCCTTCTCTCTGGGAAGGTAGCGGTTCCGAGACCAACAATGGAGAGAATGGGCCTAGGTTAGTTGCTGAAATACAAACCTGAGTTCGAACTTCACTAGAAGCAAATAAGTAAAATACCACGATTTCTACAATATCTAGACCAACCAGTTTAATCAGGATACCTTAGTTGTGTCCCAAGGTTGGTACTTCAAGATATTCATTAAAACTGGAATGATACATAAGGAACCAACCGCTCCCTGCTCCGTTCGTAATGCCCAGTGTGGCATGAGGTACGCAGAGCAAAGTAGGAGCTTCCTATCTTTATCTCCTTTTATTCAGGCATTTACCTGCCTAGGATATTGCACAAGATTTATCCTAAGGGAATGATTGAGTTTGCCCAACAAAAAAAAGTAGAGAAGCGGAAGGTCCAACAAAGATGGGTTTGTGCGTGCATTCACTTTTGTGGTTTTCAAGACAATTTTTTGTCATATCATTCGCAAAGGTAATTAGCTTTGACCAGGATTATTGGAGAAGGACCTGGCCCAATGAGAAAGCAGAAAGAAGGGAAAGGAAAAAAACATGTTCATTGAATTGATTTTTTTTTTACATACAATCCATAGATTTCTCACTGTATTGACGTGGTTCTTTGTTTGTATGAATAAATACGCCGAAGAATCAGTACTCGGA